GGATATTTTTGGTTAGTTTTTTTGGATAGTTTTTTGGATTTTTGGTTTAGGTTTTTTGGATATTTTTTTGTTAAGTTTTTGGATATTTTTGTTAGTTTGTTGGATTTTTTTTGTTGGATGTTTGGGTTAGTTTGTTGGATATTTTTGGTTAGTTTGTTGGTTATTTTTGGTTAGTTTTTTGGATATTTTTGTTTGTTGGATATTTTTGTTAGTTGGATATTTTTGGTTAGTTTTTTGGATATTTTTTGTTGGATATTTTTGTTAGTTTGTTGGATATTTTTTGTTAGTTGTTGGATATTTTTTTGTTTGTTGGATATTTTTTGTTAGTTTGTTTGATATTTTTTTTTGTTAGTTTGTTGGATATTTTTTGTTAGTTTGTTGGATATTTTTTGTTAGTTTGTTGGATATTTTTGGTTAGTTTGTTGGATGTTTGGGTTAGTTTTTTGGATATTTTCTTGTTAATTTGTTGGATATTTTTTTGTTAGTTTGTTGGATTAATTTTGTTGGATTTTTTTGTTTGTTGGATATTTTTGTTTGTTGGATATTTTTGTTTGTTGGATATTTTTGTTAGTTGGATATTTTTTGTTTGTTGGATATTTTTGTTAGTCAGATGGATAATTTTGTTAGTTTTTGGATATTTTTTGTTAGTTTGTGTATACTTTTTGTTAGTTTGTTGGATATTTTTGTTTGTTGGATATTTGTTAGTTTGTTGGATAGTTTTGTTAGTTGTTAGTTGGACAGTTTTGTTTGTTGGTAATTGGATATTTTTGTTAGTTTGTTAGTTGGATGTGCTTGTTAAGAGTTTGTTGGGTATTTTTGTAAGTTGCTAATTGAATACTTTAGTAAGTTTGTTAGTTGGATAAATTTGTTAATTGTTAGTCAGATTTTTTATTATGTTTTACTTGGATATATTTGTTAGTTGTGTCCTTTCCTTCTCGTACACAGGTATGTCTTTAGGAATTGTATTTCGGCCACTTAAGTATGAGAGTATAAGAGGCCTGATATGGCCTTATCAGTATGAGGATCAGGATAACCTCTGTCAGTTCTTCCTCTGAGGTGGTATCAGCATGTCTCAATAAACTTGCCGAAGAAAAAAAAAAAAAAACAATTAGAGGAAAAGGAAATATGATAAGAAAATAAGAAAAAAACTCTCTTTCCATCTTGCTTACTCTGTTTATCTCTCTGTCTCTCCTTCATCCCTCTTTGATATCTTCCAATTTCTTTCAAATTCGTGGAAAGGGAATAAGATAAAAAATAAGAAAAAAAAACTCTCTTCCCATCTTGTTTACTTTTGTTTATTCTCCTGTCTCTCCTTCATCCCCTTTGATATCTTCCAATTTCTTTCAATTCGTGAACTTTATTAAGGGAGCACCTTCTGAAAATATAACTTAGGTGTGTCAGCTTATCTCGGTTATCTTGCCAGAGAAAGGAAAATAATAATTAGAAGATAATAAAACATCAGAACTAAGAGAGAAAAGAGAAAATAAAATAAAAGAAAAACCTTCTCTTTCTTTCTATCTTTCTTTCTTTCTCACTTTGTCTACCTCTCGGTCCGTCCCTCATCCTTCTCTGACATCCTCCATATTTCTTTCAATTCTCTAACTTAATTAAGAAAGCAGCCGCCGAAAATATAATTTATAAAGCGCCAAATAGAGTCACGTACCTCTGGCAACATACCAATGAGGGTGCAAATGATTCTAATAAAATATAAATGACATGACCGTATATATTGCCCATAAGATGTCAAAGGTTAAATACTATACGACCTTGAAGTGATACAGTATACTTTGTATTTGATGGTCTTGGCATGTTTTTCTATGTCCAGCGTAACATGAACAGCTATGATAGTGTTTAAGTATATGATAAGTGTTTAAGTAGAAGTGTTTATAAGTATAAGTATATATTTATAAATCTATAAGTATATTTATCTATATACTTATAAGTGTGGGTGTATATTGGTATATTCAAAAGTATGTATAAATATATATTTTTAAATCTATAAGTATATGTATCTATATACTTATAAGTGTGGGTGTATATTGATATATTTAAAAGTATGTATATAATTGTTTATAAGTGTTTATAAGTGTTTAAGTATGAAGTGTAAAAGTATAAACTATGATAGTCTTTAGATATAAGTAAGTGCCCTACAAGAAGTGAAATACTGAAACGTAGAAGTGCTTATAAATATATTTTTATATATTCATAAGTATATATATTTACATACTTATAAGTGTGTGTGTATATATCTATATATTATAAGTATGTGTATAAGTGTTTAAGTATAAGCTATGATAGTGTTTAAGTAAGTGCCCTACAAGAAGTGAAATACTGAAACGTAACTTTATTTTTCTGCAGTCTGCCTTGAAAACGCACGTAAAAAATCGTGTTAATCATTGCGAATATGCTGGAAATATCTGACCTCTGTACCAACAAACTATCTCTTTCTCTCTATTTATATATACCTGTCGAGATAAGCGCTAGATATACTGGAAGGCTT